TTTCTTTTCAGTTTAATAAATGGCATCATAAAAAAAATAACTTGTTTCTAAGTTAGTAATACTTCTGGAATTGTCAGCATGAATGGAGTTTAAATTTAAAGTTTGAAAATTTTTTTAATGGTCCTTGGGTTTGAACTCTACCTTATACTTGCTAGGAAAGGTGTTCTACAACTTGAAGTATACCCCCAGGATCCCCAATTTTAGTTTTAATATTAACTTTATAATGAAATTGAATAAGCAAGTGAATTTTCTATAGATTATTTATTACTGGTCAGAATGCTGTTCTGATGAACTATGCAGTGTAAAACTTAGGTGTTATTAGAAAGGTGGAGACGCCTCATCAAGGGTTCCTAAGGACTTGCTATAAGTGATCATATTTTAAAATGCTTAGTAAATTCTTATGATCTTTTTATTTTTGATCTCAACTGAAGTTAATGCCAGAATACCATGAATAAATATTTGGATTTATTATTTAAGTCTAGAGAATAGTTATATTTCCTGAGAGGATTAAGAGATAGGAAAAATAGATTTTAAGTTATTGAAAACATGTGTGTTGTATTAACAAGATTTCAGGTAAACAATTCATAGTTTGGTTATTTAGTTTAAAATTTTAGTTTACTTTTTTTTTTTTGATTTTTTCTTTTTTGGTACGAGGGGCTCCAACCCAGGATGTTGCACTTGCTAGGCAAGCACTTTACCACTGAGCTACATCCCAGCCCTAGTTGACTTTCTTTTTTCTTTTCTTTTTTGAACTCAGGGCTTTGTGTTTGGCTAGGCAGCACTACCACTTGAGCTGTGCTCCCAGAACGTTTTGCTTTACTCATTTTTGAGATTAAGTCTTGAGTTTGAGGTTATGCCCTTATTGGCCTGGGCTATGATCTTCTTAAGTATACTTCCTGTAGAGCTGGAATGCCAGGTACATGCCACCACACCTAGCTTTTTATTGGTTGAGATGGGGATTCAAGAACCTTTTGCCCAGCTTGCCTCAAACCTCAGTAGGATAATAAGTATGAGCTGCCACACCCAGCTTGATATGTGTTCTTTTAAAATGTTTTGTTATGTGAGAAAAAAAAAAATTTTTTTAAATCAGTTGTGGGGCTTGAATTCAAGGCCTGGGCAGTTCCTGAGCTTTTCTGCTCAAGGCCTAGCACTCTACCACTTTGAGACTCAGCTCCACTTCTGGTTTTTTTGGTGGTTGGAGTCTCACAGACTTTCCTGCTCCGACTGGGTTTGAACCATGATCCTCAGATCTCAGCTACCTGAGTAGCTAGGATTATAAGTGTGAGCCACCAACACCTGGCTTGAAAGTTCTGTCTTAAGAAATTCAGAAAATTTGTGTAATCTCAGTTACTCAGAAGTAGAAGCAAGAGGATTACAAGTTTGAGGCTAGCTCTGGCAAAAATGAGTAAGCCTGTATCCCAAAATAATACTGTATTAACTCTAGCCTGTCCAGGCAAGGCCTGGGGTTCAATCTCCAGTTCCCAGGACTGCCCCCCTCCAAAAAAATAAATCAGAAAATTAATCTGATACATATTTGGACCTAAGAAAAAATTTTAAATCAATATTGAATTTGGGCTAGTGCTCCAATCAGGAGATAACTTTTAAAATAAAGCAAATTGGTATTTTCCTTGGAATGATGTATGTTTTTCTTTTTTATAGTTTTTACAGTTGGTCAGATTCTTTTATGTTGTACATGTTGTTTCTGTCTCTCAATCATCTACCTATCTGGCAGTACTGGGTTTGAATTTGGGGTCTATGTTCAGTAGGAAGGATTCCACTCTTTAAGCTGTACCTCAACCCTTTTGCCTTGTTATTTTTGAGATAAAATCTTACTTTTCCCCCCCAGGGCCAACCTCACTGTGTGATCCTCCTATTCTATACCTCTTACAGGTGGATTTACGGTTGTGGGCCAGCATGCCCAGCTTGTTTTTGAGATGCGGGGGAGCAGGTCTTATTTTTTTGTTTTGGCATTTTTGAACAATGTTCTTCCCAATCTCTGTTTACAGAATAGCTGGAATTATAGGTTTGCACTACTAAGACCAGTGAAGTTTCTTTAAAGTGACTTCTTGCATTTCTCAAATGGAAATACATTCCTTAAAATGAGTTATGTCACCTTCTCATTAACTTGTTTTTTTAAAGGGATCTTGGATGCTTGACACAGGAAGGCAGTCCCAGGAGATAGCTAAGTCTCCTCAGGATTGTCAAACTTGAAATGTAGTCTGGGATTAGTGAGATCTGTTCTGTCATCCTCTGCTGTATCCTCCTGTTTGTAGTCCTCCTACCCAACTATCTGTGAAATAGGGGATCATAGAAGTTTTTACATTTTATAGTTGAAGCTCCAAAAGTTATGTAACATGTTGTAATCTTTTGTCTACTAGAATTCTAAGTAGTCCAGAGACACTCATTTTATAGATAGAAAATGTCAGATAGCACTGGACTTGAGCATGTGTGGTCCTGACAAGTCATACTTTTAAAAATGAGTATAATTATTGGCTCAAAATTTTGAGAGTTAAATGAAAAAAAAATGGTGCTGGTTACCCTATGGATAGTAACATAGTTATCATTACCATTGCCTTATTTCATGTGAAGTCTCTTGTTTCCAGGAGTGTTATTTTTCCTAAAACACTTGGCCCTTCGCATATGCCATCCTATACATCCACTTGCACAGGGTGAGGGTGGGTCAGTCTGGTCATCTCAGTCATGGGCACTTTGGCACAAGATATTTATCTTTTTGCTGTGCTAAATGTTCCGATGAGTCTGTATCTCAATGCAGAAAAGCTGGAGGTAGTAATTACCAGAAACATTGTTATGTTCTGATAACATCCTCAAAATTAGTTCTCCATGAGTAGAATCTGGCAGGTTAGTGTTCACACTTTTAGACCAGGCTTTGCGGCCCACCTCTATGATCCTAGTATTTGGGAGGCATAGGCAGCAAAATCATGTCTTCAAGGTCAATCTAGAGAAAAGATTGGTCTGAAAAGAAAGTAAACTTTTAGGACTTTGCCCAGCTAAAACAGCTCTGGAATTTTAGGACAGATTGTCACAGTGTTTCTCAGCACTTTCCTCCATTACTAGAGCCCCATTCTCTGTCCTCTTAAAAAGAGTCACCATTTCTCTGAGCTACCCTTTGAACCTATTTTTTAGAATTCTTTAGTAGACTTCCCTTGAAACCCTCATAAGCAGGGAAGCCCCTCGTAATGCTCCCCCTATAGAGAACAACTCCGATAATAAAAGTAGCACAATCAAGTAAGGACTCAGAAAGCTTGCCTACCTCCCTCAGACTGTTGTCCTTTGTTCATAAAGGCTTAGAAACCTGAATATTACTACATCTGGCACTTTGAAAATTTTCTCTTTTGGCAAATTTTCCAGCCCTTTGCATGGGTCAGTGGGCTTCTTCTGTAAGGTTCAAGTAGAATTACAAGTGTAATTTAGATATTCTCAGGAAGGTGAAGAGTAATGATGATCCCTGTAGTGCCTGCTGTTTGTACCAGTGACTCACATAGGGTAGTCCTTGCTTGCTTTACAGCTAGAGTAGCCTTAATTTGAGCAAAAAGGCCAGACTCTTCATAAGATATTTACCTAAGTATAACAAGCCTGTCAATGGCACGTGGTTTCTTTAGCCAGGCGTGTTTTTTCCTGAAAGACTGAGAGATCAGCTCCTGGGAATTGTGCTATGGAAACCAGCATCCTCTTCAGGATGGAAAGAGATGGGATCTAGAGTATATCGGGAAGTCTTTGTAGCAGTAACTGTACACCCGTACGTACAGGCAGAGCAGCACCCTACTGTCAATCTAGTCAGTTAGCTCTCGTCCTTGTCCTTCCCCACTGTATTGTAGGCTGTGAGGTGCCCAGGGACACAGCCTTAGTGAGCTGTTCCAGTCACATCTCTCCCTCCCCTGCAATGGGAAATGCCAAAAGTTTGAGACAGTAGCAGGAACTCAGATTGTGAGGAAATCAATTAGGAAAATTTAGAGCACTTGTTAAATGTCAGTACACAATTTAAGAGGATAGATAGACTACAGGACTGAAACTCACTCTGGCAAGCTGTAGAGACATGCGTTCTTAAAAACATATTACATTGTACTTTTTTTTTTTTTTAAATCAGTCCTGGGGCCTGAATTCTGGGCATTGTCCCTCAGCCCTCCAGCTCAAGGCTAGCGCTCTACCATTTGAGCTACAGCACCACTTCCAGCTTTTTCTGCTTATGTGGTGCTGAGGAATTGAACCCAAGGCCTCATGCATGCAAAGCACTCTACCACTGAGCCACCTTCCCAGCCCTACATTACACTTTTTCAAAGCAAAAACTTCATGGTAGAGATGGAAGAAGTTCCCTCATTAGATTCTAGATTCTGCCTGGAAGCTCAGTCTAGCCTAGAGGAAAGACTTGTCTGTAAAGAACATGAACTCTCCTGGTATAGCCCCAGTTACCTGAAGTAATATGATTTCTGACCTTGTAATAGAAAACTTCATCCTTCCCTATTTTTGATGACTCTTAAGATAGAAATTCAGAGTTTACTATGAATGTCCACTTAGGAAACTGTATGTTGCTGGAGATGAAAATCAAGGCTTCAGGCCGATAAGCAAGAGGTTAACTGCTGAACTATCTCCAGCTCTACTTCTAGAAGTTTAAGCAGTTTGTGAATGTATGTTTGTGTAACATCCTCCCCCATTCATTCTTATGTTGAAACTAACCCATAATGGGATTTGTTTGGGGGGGGGCACTTTTTGGGAGGTAATTAGGACAGATTTCATGATGGGATTAATACGCCTTTAATAAGAAGAGGAAGAGAGCTAGCCCTTTTTCCTTCCAGCCATCTGAAGATTCAACCAGAAGCTGGCAAGTCTGCAGCTGGGAGGAAGGCCTTCACCAGACCAACAATTCTAGAACACAGATCTTGGACTTCCAGCCTCCAGAGCTGTGAACAATAAATATGTTTAAAGCCATCAGTAAATTATACTTTGTTATAGCAACTTGAGCAAACTAAGACAAGCACACTTTATGTTATTTCCTGTAAAAAGTTTATATAAATTTCAGCTAAGATAAAGGAACTTGTGATATCATTACAGTTTCCTGATTTTGTTTTTTACAGGATGTCTCAACAATAAAGTAGTACTTCAAACTTACATTAAAAAACTCAAATGCATAGTTTAAAGATAAGTACAAATGGAATTTCTTAACAAAGGGATCAATGAAAAGCCACAGTAGAATCAGTCGCCATGTTTTAGTTTTAAATAACAGCCAACCAGAAATTTAATACTAAAAATGGAGGTATTTCCCTTTCCCTTCCACTCTCAAGACACGTTGCAGGACAGCTTTACAAAGTGTAGACAGAAAATCTTAAATGGTGCCATTTTTCATTCTCCTGAATAGTACCCCAACAATACTAATTTTGTATAATTCTGAAAATTATCATATTTAAACACTGCACACATTCTGACCCCAAACACTTTAAGAATGGATACATTTTAATGTCCATTGCTACACACAACAGGAACTGAGATAATCTTTATTATATAATACAGACTTATTTCAGTAATAGTTTTAATAGCTGAAGAAGTGAGTACATTCCATAGATTGCTCAATGTTTATTGATGGCCCAGTCAGTCTTATACTGAGCACAGGAATGGGAAAATAGACTATTTGTCATCAGCTCATCCCCACCCCAAGGAATGGTCATCCCACCTGTAGACCATGGACTTTTGGAACCCTTAAATGATACAGGCTACCTGCAGGTCCTTACCAAGGAATGGCTGCAGGGTATGTGTTGGACCTATTTTGTCATTCCAATGTATGTTAATGCTGTGGTGACAAGTATGTAAAGTTCTTTAAAAGTAATATGAATTCATATTACTGGTCACTGTGTATTTTCTCAATTGGCAGGTAACTGATTGGGAGGTAAGTTAAACTACACATTAAGATATTTGTGTATGCTAGAAGGCTTTGTTGTGATTTTTTTTTTTCCGCGAAAACAGCTTCATAAAAGTCAAGGAAGCATTGTGGGAAAAGAGACTCTTCAGAATCTTAAAAGGAATTATTAGCACCTTTAATTTGTACTGTAGGTACAAGGATAGGTCTCAGGTTTACAAATGACATAAAGTGTGTTTTTTTTTTTACTTCTTTTTAAATATAGAGTATCATTTCAAACTGTTAGTAAGTTCATATGTTGATCAGCAATCAATTTTTATTAAGCTAGAACATGTTAAACCTTTCTCTCCAAGGACCTTTGCTCCTGAAGCAAATTTTCCCAATACCTAAGCATTGGGTCTAAAGCCTCAGAGGACTTGATTCATGCTTAACTATTTTTTTAAGTTTCCAATTTATTTTGAAAATTCATGTAAAATTTGCATTGTTTTATAGTACTTTAAAAATGTGATTTAAATATTTAACCATTTCTTCATTTTCTAGAAAAATGTAGGTTACATTTAAGCAAGGGCTTTTGGTAGGTGATTGTCACATATACATAACAAAACACAATAATTCAATGGGTTTATTGTAGGTGTAATCAGGAAAATGGGAGTAGTATTGAGGTATACCTCTGAGAACATGTAAATAGGGGTACATAGCAAGTAGATTTAGTACTCCTAGGAGTACTAAACTTTAAGACACACATAACTGATGGGAGTAGAATGGAGCCTAGGTGAGCTTGACCGATTAACAAGGCTGAGGATAATAGAATTGCCAACCAGCTAATATGAATAAGCAACTGCTGGCAGAGAATCTAGCATCATCCAGGGTTAAGAGGGCACTCTGGTCCACAGACATGAACATCAACAGGTATATCAGCACAGGGAGATGTATGCATGAGGAAACTTGATTCCCTTGCTCAGAATCCATGCTCACCAAGTAAGTCAGATGTTCATAATTTGGCTTCTCAAGAAGATTTGCCTGAAGGGAGAGAATGATTGATAGTTATACTTCTTATTGCAAATTAAAATACTGATACTGTTTTTGTTGTTTTTTTTTAAGATACCAGTTATTATGAGTTTGTCATGTGCTGAGAAATGGTCTGTGAGCTAGGTAAGCTTCCTTGTCACAAACTGGATATATATTTATGCCCTTCGTATCATCAGAAGCCAGTTGGCCTTCTGCTATAACAACTCTGCTAAAACCACACTACATAGTATCTGTACTTTCAGTATGGTAGTTACTAGCCACATGTGGTATTAGCCACTTAGAATGTGTTAATTGAAACAGATGTGGTGTAGGTAGGTAACATGCTGGATTTCTAAAAGTACCCTCTCACACAAAAAAGTAGAACATGTTGAAATAAAATAGGTATACTGAAATTATTAAAATTCCATCTATGTGACTACTAGGAAATTCTTCATTCATAAGAATTAAGTGGCCGCTTATTTAATACCTTTCTTTAAACATGCCAATGATACAAATACAGCATCTTAGTATTGTGAAGTGATGTCAGATGCAATTCCCAACTGTGGGAACAAAAGGCTATGGAGTCAAGGGTGGCTCAGAGCTGACTTGATAAAGGGACTAGTCGGGACTCTGAGCAAACCTTTGATGCCTTGGTGTGCACACTTGAAAGTTGCAGATAACTCATAACCCTAGAGGCCAGTGCCTGCACAGAGCTCTGACTGAAGAACTTCCATCACTGAATGCAAGAGCCATGCCGCTGCTTGTGACTACCTAGTCATTGACTGCCAAAGGATTGAACTATAAGGTAAATATCAAAGATAAAAATGTCAAAAGATAAGTTTTTATTCATCAAAAGTTAACAGCAACAGGCACATATTAAAATGAGTATGGCAAAGCCTTTTACAAATGGCTTTACACTCAAGCTTTCTCCCAAGAAAATGGCTGTTGCAACAAACTGTAAACATAATAAACAGTCTTTTACAGTAACAAGGGAAATACAAATGAACTAAAAGAAAGCACCGGTTTCTCTTATAACTAGATTACAGTTGTGCTTACTATACATAAAACAATTTAAAACAAATTACAAAAGTGGAATGTTTTTAGTTTAAAATTAGTCCTTAGATTTTGTCCTAGAAAACATCTGTTCACATCAAAAGGCCCATCGAAGGGTAACGTTTCATCAAAGGGAGGGACAAGAAAACAATGCACTTTTTCAAATCAAAACGAGAAGTTTGGTCACTTAGCTTTGTGCATAGTTTAAGGCAACTGGAGCAGTCTGTTACAGTTTACCTACCTTCCCCCTCCCCCAAGTGTGGCTGCTTATTACGTCACATTCTAAACAATAAATAAAAGTGTAGGTTTCCAATCTTTTCCCACATGGATAAACATGCAATCATACATGCACAAACATGCGCACAACACACATCCACGCATTCACACACAACATACCTCTCACGCACTGCAGCGAAAGGGACTTTAGTACCCTTGATCTGAAGGACACACTTCCCCATCCCACTTTATTTCAGATTGGCAAATACCCTGAGCTGATTATGGTGTTAAACATTCCACCTTTTCCTTGCATGAGCAGGTCAAGTGTACAGTAGTGAAAACAACATGCAATGTCTTCACTGCAGAATCATAATACAGCTAGGACATTGTGTTCTTCCCTCCCACCCCAAATGAAAAACTTAATGTTAATAAAAAATTGCATTGCCAAACAGCACTGGAGTGGAAGCTTGACGATATTCTGACAAATGCTCAGTTTCCAGTGCACAAAATAAGATACAGCAAACAGGAGGCTTTGATGGCATCCAAAGAAGAAAGAAAAAAACAAAAAGGCAAGCCAGGGGGAAGAGCTGCAGTCCAGTTTGATCTCAATTTTTTTTTAGTGGTTCCTTCACAATCATGCTCCAAGGCAATTTAGAGCCAGTATTTTCAGAGTTGATTTGTAAACATTGCCAGAGGCAGCAGAGACTGGGCACTTCACATTTCCGTTTTCTCAGAGAGAACTTAGTGGAAGGTACAGACACATTGTTGCTTCAGACTGGCTGAATTCCAAGAGACTGCTGCAGAAAGATTCAGTTCAAGTTTCATGGTTTGAAGAACAAATGCTATGAAAACCACGCGGCACACCTCCAGAAGCTTCCTTGTTTACTCTTCTGGTTTTTCTGCTGGGCTTTGCATATTCAAGGTTTCACACAAAAGCCGATTGCATATTGCTGTATGTTCAGGTCTTAGAATTTAAAAAGTAAGTTCAAATGATCCAACAGAGTAATTGTGGAAATAAATAATGCTGGCATCATTCACTTGGAAACCTTGGCAGTCAAGAGTAAGTCCTTTCACCTCAAGACCCCATTTCACATTTCTAAAAATCTCCAAGAGGCAGTTTGTCCCACTGTTTTGGGGGGCTATGATAAGCGATTTTCCTGAGGTAACAACTGTGAGTTCAACTCAAAGGCAGCGTCTGTGTCCTCACTGCTGGACTGTTCTCTCTGTAGTCCTTTCCAACTGGCTTTATTCAGCCCCACGTGTCCAAGCATTGTCTGGGACAGCCTTGTGTCTGAAAATCTGGCCCACTCTGTAAATAAAGGCTCCACTAGGTAGGTCATAAAACCTTGAGAACATAAGAGGAAAACAAGAATTAATATATGCTCTGAAATCTGGATCTTATTTCTAAAATACTACACGGTATTAACCATTATGTCCTGTTCCAATATTGTCTAAACCAGATTTTTCAAATGATTTGAATATGTGTTTTACATTATCTTTTCCAAACAATCTATTTCTTAAGTAATTCAATGGTACTTTAAAGGTAAACTGAAAATAAAATATTTTCTAATTTTTCTTATGCAAATATACAGTGGCTACATCACTCCTGAGGGATACCAGGACAGAACATAATTGAAGGGGAGTTCCCAGAGAATGAGACAGCTAGAGGCCCAGATAGGGTCTCTGCCATCATCTGGGTGAGGAGGCCAACATGGGTGGAGTTGGTATGGTTCACTGCTTTGTTCCTTTATGAATGGAAATCTCACAGTTGTCAGGACTATACATTTTACTTAATTCAAAAAAACCACTTGTGAGAATGTGTGTGTGCTCGTCCTGAGGCTTGAACTCAGGGCCTGGGCAATGTCACTGAGCTTTTTTGCTCAAGGCTAGCAGTCTTCCACTTGAGCCACAGCTCCACTTTTGCCTTTTTTGGTGCTTACATGGTGGTAAGAAGCTCATGGACTTTCCTACCCAGGCTGGCTTCAAACTAATATTCAAATCTCAGCCTCCTGCATAGCCGGGATTACAGGCATAAGGCACCGGCAACCCAACTTAATTCAGTTTATAATGATAAAACTAAAACTCTAAAAGTTACAGATTAAAAAAATTGAACATCGAAAGTATACTTTGTCAACTCATGTAAGTGATCTCCATTCATAGAAAAGGAAAATGAGTCATTTCAGGATTGTCTCCATATCTGATTACACAGCACCCTACTACACATATCTGAATCATGTTTTACAACAGGGACTAAAGAAGTCTCCTAGAAAACAGTTTCATCAGTCAAATCATAATATATGCCAGGAAAAATACAGAATCTTCCTAAAATTCTGATGTTAGGAAAAGTGTACACTAAAATGATTTTCAGTTTTTAAATCTTCACATTCAAGACTTTTCTTGTAGCAAAAAGTCGTGTGGACTAGACAACAATAGACCCCATTTAGTCAACATAAGTTAAGAATCTCACTGGAATTGAAGCTTTTAAGTCAAAGCCCCCCCAACTCGGGATGGTCTGATTTGAAATTTTATAAGTACATAATTATGGTGTCTGAATAATAATGATGGCACCTGCAATAAGGCTTTCGTTTTGTTTTTGTTCATTGATTCATTCCCTTCATGCACATTAACACATATAACTGAGAAGTTGCTTTGTGCACAGCCCTATTCTGGGGTGACTCTCAAGTACCTGGTGTCTGGTGAGGAGAAAGGGTTATGAAACTGAAGAATGTCAGAAGCCTGGTCAAAAAGCCCAGTAGCTTCTGGCAGCTATTGTCCCACGGCTATGTCATGGTAAGCCAGCAGCCCCAAACCCTGTTTCTAGTGTGCCACACTGAGCCATGAACAGTTGTATAACATAAAGAATCTTACCATGGATGTTACACAATTCATCAAGATTGATCGCATGGGTCCAACAGGTTTAAGATTTTGGGGGATGCTACCTCTAAGTCAAACAAATTAGTTGTTCAACCAAGTTAGCTGTCAGTCACCTCTATCTCTATGGTAATCTACACTTTTATTCAGGTTTTAAGTAACTAATGGAAATGTACAGGCAAGAACCTGGTCACAAGTATAGCATGTTCCTGGAGGCAGTGCTATACTTCTTAGGACCTCAAACACAACTGTTCAAGCACTTGTCACCCCCCCCTCCCCAAGCTCCCCTAGCCCTACATACCCAGGTTCCATAGGATGCCTTGCCAAATGCCTGGTCAAACCCAGCACTTGTTCAACAAAACTTGTATTCCTATTAAGGAATGAGAGTATATCAACTAAATATAGCTTGTATTTCTGGCTCTGAAAAATCACAGCTTAGTGTAGAGAAGAGGCTGGAATCTCTGGTCAGAAAGAATCATCAGAAACTCAACACCAGAACCTGTTACCATTTGGGCAAAGTATCTGGAGAAGGGAACATGAAGTAATACTGTCTCCTTACCATTATTATGAGGAATCAGTACAAATCAACTGTCATCATCACATCTATTTCTGTCACCGTGAACACTTGTTCTATAACTGTCCAATACTGACAAGCCATCTACTTTGAGACAATTTAATAATGTTTCTTCATAAAACTTGCCATTGAAAAAAAAAGTCATACTTGCAGCCAGACACGATTCAGAGGATGGCTATTTAAAGTCAGCCTGGCAGAAAAGTCCTAGAGACTCTACCTCCGATATAACTAGCAAAGTCAGGCTGGAAATATGGCTCAAGTAGCATAGCACCCGCAGAGCTGACTATAAGGCCCCAAGTTCCAATCTGAGGAGGCAGAGATCTCACTCCCAAGTTCTCTTACAAAACTAGGGAATAATTTACTCAGGCAAAGAGACATAAGCTAAAGTGGGCGGGGAGCATGGCTCAAGTGTTAAAAGTCCCAAGTGAAAACTCTAGGAACACACACACACACACACACACACACACACACACACACACACACACACACACAGACATTAGAGCATATATAATGACCCATTTGTCAATTTTCAAAATTTTTGCCCATAATTCATATGTTCTTTATCATTCTACTTGAGAATAAAAACATCTATTTCTTAACTTTTATTTTCCTCCCCCATTCCCTTCTCCCCCTGAGAAAAATATACCTCTGCTAACCTCAGCCTGGGCAGGCTGGGCTGTCCTGGTGCTCACATCCCCACCTCCTCCCCTTGCCTATACCTCTGTACTCAAACCAGTCATTACCCACTCTCTTCCACTTGAGGGTGCTTTGCAGTCACAATGTAAGAATTTTTCTATTTCCAATGCTACAGCATGGTCCTTCAGAGAACTATGCCACAGGATTATGCTATTTCTTACATTTCTGAAGCTGGCATACACATTTCACTATCTTTAACCTAATGCTCAAAGGCTACTACAGCTACTACACAGCTACTAAAATTACAACCCTTCAACTTCTTAAGCTACTTCCCCCATACAGCCAAATCCCAATACACTCATCGCCATCAGTCTTCCCTATACTATTCTACAGCTGCCATGGGTCAGTCACAGAACCCGTTATGCTTTGTAGGTATTAGTTTCCTCAGTAAACAGCTCTGTGTCTCCTGCTACAGTGCAGTTAAGCTCCAGCAACTTATACCAAAGGCATGGCTATGAGCGACACCTATGACACACTTATGAGAAGGCACCTATGGGCACTGGAGAGGGAGGGCAGCTTCTGGGAGAGTGACATTTGAGCTGGGTCTTCAAGAAGTCTAGAAGGCAGAAAGGACTAATAAAGCTTAGTAGTTGTAACAAGAGGAAACAAGGTGAACATTTCGTAAATAATCTTAGAAATGAGCCTATTTTTTATTTTGTGTGTTTTGAGACAGCTCCCCAAATGCTGGGATTACAAGCATGTGCCACTATGCCTAGCTAAATGAGCATAATTTCACCACCTCCTATTTTGATGTTTCCCTTGATAAAACTGGAATGAGTGGTACTTTTCTAACCAGAGATATTTAAATATGAATAGTTACCAATCTGAATGTTGGCAATAGATTCAGTCTGACGATCACAAAGTGGACTCACACCCAAATGATACTTCTTTTCTATATCGCCTATAAATTAAGAAAAGAGTTGTTGATATATATCATCTGTTGGTTAAATATATATAATTATCATGCCTGCAAATTCCTTAGAAGGACATATATAATCCTCATGACAAGACAGTTTTTCAATTGACTATTTTAAATGAAGATGCTTAGATCTTGGCTTTTTATCTGTTCATATGGCAATATCCTCCACACAGGAGAAGGCGTGGAGCAAGTTCAGGAAAATCTTTCTGGGCAGTAATGTTTCCAGACTACTCTATGTATACTCATGAATGTGTATTTCTTTGATCACTCCAAAACAGTACTACTAATTGTCAAAAGAGATGCCCAATCAGTATATGTGCATCTACTGTGGATTGTTGCTAAAAATACCAAATATCTACTGTGAGGCTCTTATACATAGCTGAATCCTCACTTGATCTATGTGGTGCTAAAACATGAAGTGAACAGGTGAACTAGCTCTCGATATCATAACTTGCCTTGGTGGAAGAATTCCTCTGTTACTTTTTCACTCCACTGCTTGCTTAATTCCCAGGTCCGACATGGGTTACAGATATCAGCACATTTCAAAGCCATCTAGCAAGCAAAATGTAAAATTGTGTTAAAAAAAAAAAGTCCAGTTTCATTCAGTTAAACCCAAGTTTAAACATAATAATGGGAAAAAGAATACCTTAAAAAAAAAAAAAAAGCTGGGGGAGTAGCTCTGGGGTAGAACATGTGAAGATGAATGGGATCCTGAGCTCAATCCCCACAAATGATACAGAAAAGACTGCAACAGTGTGTATTAATCACAAGAGGCTGTTAGATCTATCCTTTTTTGTTGGCTCTCCTGGGGCTTGAATTTAGGACCTCCACTTGAACCATAATCTAGTACTCTGTGTTTTAGGTTATTTTTCAGATCTATGCCCCTCACTCCCCCCCCCCCCCCCCCCCCACTCACCTGGTATCACAATATATCCCATCATGTCAGCTGGTTAACTGAGATGGAGAAAGGGAGAATCTTGGTACCTTTTTGCCCTGGCTGGCCTCAAACCACAATCCTCCCAATCTAACTGCTTCCTGAGTAACTGGCATTACAGTCATATCACCCGGCCCTACAAATTATTTCTGCAGAAATGCCAATAAGGATATTGTAAAACTACTAACATTACCCCTGTTTGATAATCCCAAATAACCAACACAATAACTGGATTAACCACAAAATATAAATAAAATAGAAATAACCCCCTTTTTTCTGCTTTTCATTAGAATAAAATGCCACTCATTGATAAGTATCCTAATCCTAAAGAAGTTTTTTTTTGTTTTGTTTTTTTAGAAATTTCAAGTATGACAGTGTGGCAAGACTCAAGTACCTAGCAAGCTTCAAGCCTTAAATTCAATCTCCAGCACTACACAAAACAAATATAGCTTAGTTCAATTAGAGTATGAAGTGGCCAACTCGCTAGTGCATTTTTTCTGGAAAATAAAGATGCTAATCTGAGGAACTTCCCAGGATTTTGCTCCAGATTTAACTACCCTGAAGACCTATGCTACTCTATTTAATTTTATCCCACTAGTCACATGATTTACCATACAAACAGAACCCCCTCAAGCTCCATTGTACCTGTTTTTGTTTTTTTGTTTTTGGTCAGTCATGGGCCTGAACCCTGGGCCTGAGCGCTGTTCCTCCACTCCTCAGCTCAAGACCAGAGCTCTACCACTTGAGCCAGAGCCACTTCCGGCCTTTTCTGCTCATGTGGTGCTGAGGAATCGAACCCAGGGCCTCATGCATGCAAGGCATGCACTCTACCACTGAGCCACCTTCCCAGCCCTCCATTGTACCTGTAAAACCAAATGTCTATGCCTGCCATCATCTAGGCGTAGGTCACCTCTATCCAAATGGGACCTGAACAATGACAGGTACTCGTTCTGCCTACTGATGTCTGTGGCAAGTATCAAAGCACCAATCTGAGTCTCCATTTGTTGCCTGGAATGAGAGAAATATAAAGAGGAATAAAACTTTCCATTCAATAATTCTTGATATTTTCCCTTAATATTCAGAAAGCTTTGGAGAGCTCCTAGATGCTGCCATTCAACTTAAAATAAAAGTAATTTTAAAAAGCTAGGCTCTGGTGGCTCCCACCTGTAATCCTAGCTATTCAGGAGGCTGAGATCTGAGGATGGAAGTTCAAAGCCAGCCTGGGCAGGAAAAGTCCCTTGAGACTCTTCAATTAGCCATCAAAAAACTGGAAGTAGAGTTGTGGCTCAAAGTGGTAGAGCAAAAAAGCTCAAGGACTGCCGCACCACCAACAGCAACAACAAGTAAGGTAATTTTTAATGAATGCATTAAAAACTATTAATATAATCCATAGATTTTGTAAGAAAATATCAATACACAAAAGGCAGTTCTTTATTTTGTCAATCATGGTAGAAAATGACATTGGTATGGCACTTCCAGCTTTTTGGGTGTTTAACCATAGGTAAGAATGTCATGGACTTTCCTTCCTTGGCTTTGTACTTTGGTCCTCAGATCTCAACCTTCTGAGTAGCTAGGGTTACAGGCATGAGCCACTGGTGCTTGTCTTTTTTCTCTCTTTTCTTTTTTTGTGTGTTATGTTTTTTGGATAAAATTCTTTCCTACGATTTTCTATTGCTGAGGGTAAAACACTTTGGTTCCTGTAAGGCAAAGGCAAGACTCAAAGAGAACACTAGCCCATAAGAGAATTTGATCACTTTAGACATTTTGACTAGGTGCCTGATGAAATTGCAAGAAACAATGTAATTCAACCACATTTTCATGGTCAAATTCAAGAATCAATCATATGTATAAGAATATCTGAATATTCTGGAAGGAAAAAAACTAACATTTAACACAAACATCGTTAAAAACTGCCTGCCTTTGATTTAACAAACCATAGCAAGCGTATCTTTACATAATAACCAATAAAGAGTTGTTAAATAGATTAAGACATTCACATTATTGTGTATTAAATAACAAATCATAAATGAATATAAAGGAATGGCCAGTAAGCAGTATTCCTTATGTTTAGCTTTTATTTTTTTACTAAATCTAAGAATGCATGAAATGCAAACAAAAGGGAATAAGGAAGCAAACATTTTAATCTGCCTTAATTTTTAAAAAATGTATATATACAAATACTACATGGTTATTACATTGCTACCACATCAAAGAATGGTTTACGTACCAGAAGTGCTGTCACACTTCAATGAATGAAGATGTAAAAAAGGTAAGTGCTGTCACACTTCAATGAATGAAGATGTAAAAAAGGTAAAAAGTCTAGCTTTTTTCTTCTACTAATCACACAAAATAGTTATTTTTTTGGTTAGTCATCTTGAACTCTGGGCCTGGGCATTGTCCCTCAGCTCTTCAGCTCAAGGCTAGTATTCTATCACTTGAGCCATAGTACCACTTCTGGGTTTCTGAGTGGTTTATTGGAGATAAGAGTCTCATGGACTTTCCTGCCCGGGCTGGCTTTGAACCATGATCCTCAGATATCAGCCTCCTGAGTAGTTAGGATTACAGGCGTGAGCCACCAGCACCTGGCACAAAACACTTAAAAAAGTAGTTTTACATAAAAGGGAAAATGAAAGAATAATGGGTATAAACTTTCATTCTCAAGCACATTAGGCCTCACCATATTCCATGAAGAGGCTGGGTTACCTCCATTTACACATTTTCTGCAGTGTACCTTTTCTAAGCTCCGTGTTTGTGGAGCACATGGCAGCAAAGGCAAGTGTCCTCTCTCGACTTCTAGCAGGCCTTCAAATACCCAGCTCAACAGAACTGTTTCTAAAGTATTTCTTCATGGTGTTCTTTTCACTTATTAGTTTGTTCTATCTCCAAAAGTATTTGGAGCACTTTGCTTTGAAGGATTGAAACCTTTTTCTTATGGATTTTGGAAAAGGCTTGAGACAGATTTTAATGAATACCTATTACAGAGACTGTTTACCTCTTTTTCTTTTTTTTTTTTAACACATCCTGGACACTGTCTTTGAGCTTTCATGCTTAAGGCTAGTGTTCTACCACTTTGAACCACAACACCATTTTTGGCTTTTTGGTAGTTAATTGGAGATAAGAGCCTTACAAACTTTCCTGTCTGGGCTGGCTTTGAACCTTAACCCTCAGATCTCAGCTTCCTGAGTAGCTAGGATTATAGGTAGGTATGAGCCACCAAAGCCCAGCTTACTTTTTAGGTAATTTACCCTTTAACCTACATTTTATCAAAGCTTTATTCAGTGGAGTACAAAGTAGAATTAAGTGATAACTGTTTATGTAAATTAATAGTAAACTGGGACTAAGCTACTGTGTATTTGGAGTAAACTTCTTATAATACTCAAATCTATAGAATGTCTTTCATAAAAATAAGCATTACTAAAATACTATTGACTGAACAAAGAATAGGTCTAAAAAGTAAAATTAAACAGAAACTTTAAACAAGATAACTTATCCACTCAGTTGAACAAAAAAATGAAAACTGGAACACAGTTTATGTTTGACAAGTATTCTATCACTAAGCCACATCCCCAACCCATTAAAAAAATTTTTTTTTGGAGGTACTGAGATTTGATTTTTTTTTTTTTTTTTTTTTTGGGTCCAGTTGTGGGGCCTGAACTCTGGGCTTGGGTGCTGTCCCTCAGCTCTTCAGCTCAAGGCTAGCGCTCTACCACTTGAGCCACAGCGCCACTTCTGGCTTTTTTCTTTTTGCTTATGTGGTGCTGGGGAATCGAACCCAGGGACTCATGCATTGCAAGGCAAGCGCTCTACCACTGAGCCAACTTCCCAGCCCTTGGAGGTACTGAGATTTGAACTCAAGATCTTACCTTTGCTAAGCAGGCACTCTCTCACTTAAGCCATTCATCTAGCCAATGGAATATGATTTAAAGTAACATAGTTTTAAAAACTTTATGAATTACTTTGCAGATTTAATATCCATAAGCTGATAGCAAATTAAATTTGTCTAAGGCAACTTACCTGCTTTCTAATGGCAAATGTGAGAATAAACCAGATTCTCTCAACAAGCCCACTGCAGATCTCCAGTGATGATTTTCCAGTACTGAGGTATTCTACAAAAAGCATGTTTCTCAGTTATTTAGCAGCAGGTCTCTTTGCAAACATCAAGAATTATTTGTTAGTTATATTAAATGTGGTTGAAATTCTAGCATCCAATGAGAATAGCATTCTCATTTCCTCAAAACATGAAGTACTTACTCTAGAACACAAATATTAAACTTTGATTGTGAAATTGCACTCACCTTGTATAAAGTTGCCAAGTAATGATTAGTTTTAATAAGGAAAGGTTGATTGACACCTGGATGATCCAGATCATGAGTGGCAGCTGCAATTAAGCTCAGCAAGATATCCCAAGGAGTTACAGAATTGGCAAGCTAAAGTGGGACAAGAGAATATAAGTCGCAGGAATAGCAGAAATAAACTCCATACAACTAGTACAGTTTTGAATTTGCAGCCAGTGGTAGTTTGGAGTGTATTTTCTCCCTTCTTGGCAAATGTTCAGGTGGGCTGTTCATGAACACCACCCAGTGTCTGCAGGACTGGTTTCAATCAGGACACTGGGGTGGACATGATGTTACAGTGTCCTGGTCCCCAATGAGTTACACAGCTCATCCTGACACTGCTTCATTTTTAACACACTTAACTAAAATGTCAACCAAAGTAGAAATCATTGTTTTGAGAAACAACAGCTTTAAACCTGTAATACTGAAGGTGTTATTTTTCAACAAATTGGTCATTAAATGTCAATAGCACAATCTAAAATGCAAGACCATGCTGTAGCCCCAATGCTTAAGGAGGCTCCTTGTTGGCATAAATATTTTAGTGCAATAAAATCCTCTCCAATGGATGGATACATTCAGAACAATGTTCACAACATTGTTATGTCAGAAAGACTCTTGTTAACTAGTAATTACAATCTCATTCCCAATAATTATTACTGAGAATACTGGATTTAAAAAAAAACACACAATACAAGCTTGTTAGTAGCTGATTAAAATTTTCCAGATTAAAAAAGTTACCTAGAAACTATTATGAATCATCTCTTTTTTCTAATAACTTCTACATATCCTATAAGGCCCACCTCCACTGACCCACCCTTCTTGTTCTCTCTTCCAGACCTGTCTCCAACAAAGGACTGATTTCTGTTCCCAAGGCACTTGACACATCCTGCCACAACACTCTCTGAGCATGCTTTTAGTTGGGTTTATAATTAGGATGATGCTCCCTGAACTTCTATGATCCTGTGATTTAACAGTGAAAAAATGTGAGCACATTCCACTAGCACAAAGATTCTTTCACTAATGTATATTGATTGTATTTTATAAAGCGAAGACAAAAACTGAAAGTTAAAATAGGAGATAAACATGTTTTGATTCAAATTCATTATTTCCTCCATATGCCATAATGGATGATCTTTCTCTACCACCTGTGTTATGTTTATCTCAGTTAAAAAAAAAATTGTCTAAGCCGGCCATCAGTAGCTCATGCCTGCAATCCTAACTACTAAGGAGGCTGAGATCTGAGGATTAAGGTTTAAAGCCAGCCTGGGCAGAAAAGTTCTTGAGACTCTTGAGAAGGGGAAGGGGGGAGCACAGAAATGGTGGGACAAAGGGTGAACTAATTCAGAGTGATAGTCACAGACACTATGCTGGAAATCAACTATGTTACATCGTGGTGGAGAAAGGAGATGGGAGAGAATGAGAGAGTAGGTGACACTGTTCAAAAGGAAACACTCATTACCTGACTTATATAACTGTAACCCATCTGTACATCACCTTTACAATAATTTTTTTTTTCAGTTGTGGGGCTTGAACTCTGGGCCTGGGCTCTGTTCCTGCTCAAGGCAAGCACTCTACTGCTTAAGCCACAGCACCACTTCCGGTTTTCTAGTGGTTATTGGAGATAAGAGTGTCACGGGCTTTCCTGCCTGAGCTGGCTTGGAATCATGATCCTCAGATCTCAGCTTCCTGAGTAGCTAGTATTTACAGGCATGAGCCCCCGGTGCCCAGCTACAATAATTTTTTTTTTTTTTTTGGTCCTGTTGTGGGGCCTGAATTCTGAGCCTGGGCGCTGTCCCTCAGCTCTTCAGCTCAAGGCTAGCACTCTACCACTTGAGCCACAGCGCCACTTCCGGCTTTTTTCTTTTTGCTTATGTGGTGCTGAGGAATCGAACCCAGGGTCTCAGGCATGCAAGGCAAGTGCTCTACCACTGAGCCACCTTCCCAGCCCACAATAAAATTTTTTTAAAAATAAAAAAAATAAAATGAGACAAAAAATAAGTCATGATACATATAGTAATGTAATCAAGCATTTTCTCTTATCCCATGAACTCTTAAGAAGATCAGATGAAGACTGAAGACTTAGCTCAGGGGTACCGTGCCTGCTGACCATATATGCAAAGCCTAAGGTTTGAACCTTAGCACTACAATCAATCAATCAATCAATCAATCAATCAAATGACTAGCTTTGCCTCCAGTTATTATCAGTTGGCCTAAACCAACTTAGCCTTCTTCCCTCCTGCCATCTAGTCAGATGATGACCCAGAATGAGTATCATTATAAAGTGGTGCTAAGGGTAGGCAGAGGCAATTTCAGAATTTGGGAATAGGAGACATACATGGAAAGAGATGGCTTTCAATAACATCTACAACTGATGATTCTCACCACTAATTCCTCTTTTACATGTGAGTCTCTTTCCCAATTCTCTAGTAAACATCTCCATTTGGACAACACACAAACACATTTAACTCCACATGCACAAAATGAAACCCATCTCTACCAGCCCTACTCCAAAGTTCACTCCTTCCTATAGTCCTCTTCATTTGGGATACTTCTCCTTTCTACTCAAGTGCCTCAATCAGTCTTCACTGAATTTTCTAATTCACTCCTCAAGCTACATTTTTTAAAAGTTTTTTTTCTTTCTTTTTATTGTGAAAATTCTGTACAGAGGGGTTACAATTACATGGGCAAGATAATGCGTACATTTCTTATCAAGCATTGCAGCCTCCTCCTTTGTTTCCCCTTCCCATCCCTTCCCATCCTCCCCTCTTTCCCAACAATCACCCCAATCTTCTATTTATTCCATTTACAAGTATAGCTATATTTGGAAATTTAGTGAAGCTGGATCATCCTTATGAAAAAAGCTTCTGATCTCGAGTCAAATTACTAACTTAAGAAAAGTTTTCTAAAGCAAATCCAAAGAAATGTTCTTTTGATTTTCACCTACAGTAAACTCAGCTCTTACCTTCGGTTCCCTTAAGTAACAGTGCATGGCCTGAGTAACATCTGCAGCATGGACTGCATTGTGGTAAGGATTCTGACTGTGATAATCTTCTTGAATCATAACTGTATCAAAGGAAAAAAATTCCCATATTACTACAATGTGTGACGTATGCCAGTATAAACCTGCTGCTAATTACGAGTTTGCCCCTCATCCTTTCTATATAGTGCTCAGCTGATTCAGAAAGTGTCATGACAGTCGCCTCTCAATGCACATGTACAGTCCACAGGATACATTTGGAGAAACGTTCTGTCAGATGTTTCATCATCCAGGATAACTATGTGGCACTTCTGAAACTACCGCCATATGCAGTCTATCATGGACCAAAATGTTTTATGTGTGCTTTAAGCTATGAATCAGAGTGGCTTGTTATAAAACAAGATCATGTATAAACCTTGTGTCTGTTACATAGGTTAGAATCACTTACCTAAAAATCGACGAAGTTTCATCATATCTAAATGGAAGTATTCAATTAGTCCATGAAGACTAAATAAATGAAAGGTTAAGTTTACTAGACTATTTCCTAAAAAGAAAGAAAAGATACCACATTAGTAAGAAATATAAGGTATATGATTATACTGTGCTTCCATCAGAATATAAAACATGAAAAAATACCCACTTTTATATTTGGTCTACTTAAAATTTTCATCTTATTAGGGATTTTAAATGTTAACATCTTTGTTCTACTCGAAGGAAAAAATAAATTTGCATGGTTTCAGTTTTCTGTAAACAAGGAACTGAAAGAAGAACATTTTTTCTATTTTTGCAAGGAGGTACCCAAATAATTATAATTTGAAGAAAACTTTGGAAACTGACCCTCACTGAATAAACTAATGAGCTTTCTAAAGGACTAAAAACATAGCTGTAGTTAACTTCTACATCTCGTCTACTTTCTGGTCTTGGCTGAGAACTTGTTAGCTGGGGGTTGTGTTTCTTCTGACCAGTACAGGCCTAGAAGGGATCTAGAGTCTCAGGATCACAACATAAAGCTCAATTACTTGCCTTTTCCATACTTCTCAGAGCTGCTGGAGATGTGGTTATCACAAAACCAGGCAGAACTCTATCACTATAAATTCATGCCCAGAAATCTTACCATGTTTTCCTACTTAAATGGTTCCTTCACTTTTAAAAATACCTATTTTCAAGACTTTTTTTTTTTTTTTGTCGGTCGTGGGGCTTGAACTCTGGGCCTGGGCGCTGTCCCTCAGCTCTTCAGCTCAAGGCGAGCGCTCTACCACTTGAGCTACAGCGCCACTTCCGGTTTTCTGGTGGTTTATTGGAGATAGGAGTCTCACGGTCTCTCCTGCCTGGGCTGGCTTTGAACCACGATCCTCAGATCTCAGCCTCCTGAGTAGCTAGGATTACAGGCGTGAGCCACCAGCGCCCGGCCTTATTTTCAAGACTTTTAACTCTCCTTAAACTCTGAACACACTTCACATCTATGCCTCTTTCTCCACAGTCTCACAGTTCAACAAGCCCAGACAGGTACTAGAGGCTCATGCCTGTAATCCTAGCTGCTCAGGAGCTAAGATCTGAGAATTGTGATTTGAAGATAGCCTCAGGAGGAAAGTCTGTAACACTCTTATCTCCTCTAAACTACCAAATAAACAAAAACAAAAGAACAAACAAAACTGGAAGTGGAGCTGTGGTTTAAGTAGTAGAGCACAAGTCTTACACAAAAGAAGTTCAGGCACAGAATGCAACCTCTGAGTTCAACCGCCAGGACCAGCACACACACACACACACACACACACACACAAATACAAGCCCAAGAGCTGGAGGTGTGCACAGCACTAGGTGCCAGTCTAACAAGTGCAAGGCTCTGAATTCAAATCCCAGTGCTGCCAAAAAAATCTGAAAACAAAACATCACTACCACCACCAACAGCCAAAAAAAAACCCCAAAGACTTCAAGTTTCCCCTTCTTTAAGCATAGACTGTATTTCTAGAAAAACTACTTTATAAAAATATACCAAAATATAGGGCTGTGAGATATGATGACCCTTAACAGCTTTTAGACAGTAGTCCTCGATGAGTACTTCCACCACAATCTTGGCTAGCCACTAATGTCCTCATCATATGAACCAGGTGGCTTTCTGGAGCAACAAACTATATTTTGCCAACTCTTCATTTCACATCTCTGTAAAAGGAACATCAAATATATCTACAAATTCCCTCTTTGGAGCTGATAAGCTGAGACCATTTGTCTTAGCATAAATCACTGAATCTTGCCTCCTTCTCTTCCTCCTCCTCCTCTTCTCCATCTTCTCCTGTGGATCATTTGGGAAAATTCCAGAGTAGGAAATACAAGAAAGTAATGGCCCCATAAGAATGGAAAACTATATACTTGGATACCATGAATACAAGTTATCAGAATTCATTTTAGACTAACCAGTTTTTTAAAGAAAATCCACTGTAACTACAATTTGGCAAGCTGAAAGAATATCTTCCTGTCCATATGTTATCAATAGTATCTTTTCAAGTAGAGAATGCCTGTAACGTCCAAATAAGGGAACACATATATGACCTCTTGATATTAAAGGTGAGTAGCTAACCATGGGTCTATTTTTAGTTACTTCTATTGATCTGGAGACTATTCAGCCACTCTCTGCACACACCCAAATCAAGTGAATGCTCAAAGAGAAAGGGAGTGCACAGTTTGTAACCAATGTAACTGGTGGCAGTCCTTCTGACCATCCTCCATACTGCCAGCTCATCTTGAGCCCTGGGTTAGTAGGACGTGTACTTTTCAAAAAGTGAAATTCAGAAAAGAACAATCAACTGTTTCAATGAATGACAAAGGTCCCAACAACCCAGTAATAGTCTATGGTCTGTTTAGCATTTGCATATGGCTAAACTTGGAAAGTATGCAGGGTGGCATTGAAATAACAAATGAAGTAATATTAGTGTTGAATTAGTATAGAGAATTTTCTGGTTCTGACATTCTACTACTTTCAAAAAAGAAGGCCTAGAGAGGCTGACTACATTTCCTATGTAGACACTAAGGTGAGGGCAAGGAAGGCAACAGGACACTAATCACCAAAGGGTAGAGGAGTAGTAGAAGGGAAATGATAAGGGGAAGAAGAAACAGGTGGTAGGGGAGTGGAGGTGGGAGAAATGGGGGTGCGGGGGAGGGGAGACTGGACAGGAAAACCTCACTGTCCACATCACTTTGCACAAGATCAGTCCAATCTGTTTCCTGTCAACTGTGTATAGATAATATGTAGAAAGTGCATATAGAGATATCTTCTCCATGCATTGGCATACAGTTTAGAGAAAATAATGTAGTGATACTAAAAGACGCACACCAGAGCTGAAGATAAATGAAGATGTATTTGTCCATTTTACGTATTGGCTTCCTTAGGAAAGGAGCTTCATCCCAAAGTGAACTAAGAAGCAGGTGATTTCAAAGTATAGCCATGAACCACACACTTCTATCATTCTGAACATTCAGAACTGACTTGTTTTCCATGAAATTTTTACTCTGCTTCACTTTATTAAAAGCCCATTTAGATGTATGAGGTAAAGGCTAATTGAATTACATATGCCACACCAAGAATTATGCCAAAACTTTCATCCTAAAGAGATCACCAGAGCAAATTCAGTCCTGATTCTAAAGAGAGTAAAGGAACATGAGTCCCTCACCAAACAAAACCAAGCCAAATTCAGGAGCGGGTGAGACACATCAGAATTACCTATGGACATCTTTTTCAAACCTCAGATTGCAGAAGCCCTCCTAAAGATGCTAAAGCTCGCCCTATTCCACCATTTGGAGGCAGTGTCAGAGGGAGCTATTGCTGACCATCATGTGCCGTGTGTCTCAAGTACACAGATCAGCTTCAAGAAACAAAGGAGGAGGCTACAATGCTTGATAAGAAATGTACTCATTATCTTGCCCATGTAATTGTAACCCCTCTGTACAGTATTTTCACAATAAAAAAAAAATAAAAATTAAAAAAAAAGAAAGGATGCTTCCTCAAAGGTAGCGAAAACACCCTTCCTGTGGATCTATCTACTCAGGAATACAGTATCAGCAAGCATGAATGTAAATGCCACATTGTAAAAGAAATCAAAGAGGAAGAGGTAAGGTAATAATGAATCATTAAGAAGAGCAGCATTACTGCCAATTAACCAAGTCATGACAAGGGTGACTTTAGGTTACTTCAAAGAGTAACCATACAGATAGGAAAATATGAGATTATTTTTATTGGCTTCTAGAAAAGTCACTAAAAAGGGGTGTGGGGGGGCAAAATGATGTTCCCTCTACCAGTAGAAGGCTTATAAGCTAAATAAATGACAGCTCCACCCCACCAGGGGCTGTACCATCCATGGGGTCTTTTCTAGAGATTATGTTAACTTGAATGAGACAAATTCTTCACTTACCATTTGTTAGTCTATCAAATAGAAAGATATCAAAATTCCAATTTCCAACTTTTTCCAGCATACACTGAAATAAAAACCAAACATACCTACTGTAATTTAATTTCAATAAAATTGTCTATCATATGTAGATAGTTCACATAGAACTTAAAGCAAGTGGAAATCAACTAATTTGCTTTAAGAAATAACACTATCATTCTCATTTTAATCATGACTTTTCCAACTGGCTCCAAAAAAATGTCCAAAGAAATAAACTGCATTTGAGAAATAAGATTCTTACTTTATCAATTAGTGAATTTTACAACCCCAGGTTAGTCTTTATTCCTGTAGTAATACAAACTTATAAGAATACTAAAAGAATTTATTATCACAGAAGTATGGTTCATATGTTGCATGGCCTAGAAAACCAATTTTTGAAATCTAGTAAAAATGAGTTAATGACTACTGAGTATTTATTAAATACAAATACTGTTAAAAACACTTCATGCCAATACCACTTAGCAGGGGGGGGGGGGGGGGGTGTGTGTGTGTGTGTGTGTGTGTGTGTGTGTGTGTGTGTGTGTGTGTGTGTGTGTGTGTGTGTGTGTGTGTGTGTGTGTGTGTGTGTGTGTGTGTGTGTGTGTGTGTGTGTGTGTGTGTGTGTGTGTGTGTGTGTGTGTCTGTGTGTCTGTCTGTCTGTCTGTCTGTCTTGGGGCTTAAACCTCAGGGCCTGGCACTGTCCCTGAGCTTTTTTGTTTAAGGCTAGTGCTCTACCACTGGTAATTTATTGGTCATAAGAGGAATCTCACAGACTTTCCTGCCCAATCTGGCTTCAAACCTTGATCTTCAGATTGCAGACACCTGAGTAGCTAGGATTATGGATGTAAGCCACTGGTAACTGGAACTTTTTTTTTTGTCAGTCATAGGGCTTGAACTCTGGGCCTGGGCACTGTCTCTCAGCCCTTCAGGTAGCACTCTACCACTTAAGCCACAATGCCACTTCCAGTTTTCAGGTGGTTAACTGGAAATAAGAGTCTCATGGACTTTTCTGCCTGGGCTGGCTTTGAACCATGATCCTCATATCTCAGCCTCCTGAGTAGCTAGGATTACAGGTGTGAACCACCGGCGCCTGTTTTGGAACTTTTTTCTCCCCTAATCTGCATTTTATATATGAGAAAAGCTAACAAGTTACTAATTTGGTTAGCTAGAAAGTGAGACAGGTGGGATTTGAAATCAGGAGTATGATTCCTAGAGCTTACGTCATCTAACACTGATTTAAAATCCTACTTTGTTAATCAAAAAAGAATCTCCTACTTAATAGTAGATTTATCTATAATCTTTAAATATCCTTGCTGAGCACTGGTGGCTTATATTGGTAAGCCTATCGGTTCAGGAGGCTGAGATCTGATTATCCTGGTACAAAGGATCCAGGCAGACAAATCTAAGAGACTCTTCTCTCCAATTAACCAGCAAGAAGCCGGAAGTAGAGCTGTGGCTCAAGTGGTAAGCAAAAAAGCTAAGCAAAAGCACAAGACCCAGAGTTCAAGCCGTAGTACTAGCACATACACACAAAACAACATATCTTTAATAACATTATTATTAGAATTTACTATATTAACTTTTAGGATGATACTTTATCCAAAAAAAATCCCACAAAGATCCTAAAAACAATTTTTTTTTACATTATATATTCTATACTTGAACACTTTATGGACATTTTCAAGAAAAAGCTTGTCTTTTGCATCTAAACATTCAGTGGTGTAAACATTTAAGATGACATGAGGAACACTAAGATACTCTTAGTAGAAGCAGTAGCTCACACATCAATATTCTCACTTAAAAAAAAATAGTTTAAGCCAGGTGCTGGTGGCTCTTGCTTGTAATCCTAGTTATTAAGGACATCTGGGGATCATGTTTGAAGCCCAGGCAAGAAAGTACAAGAGACTTTCATCAGCTATTAACCATCAACAAAAACAGGAAATGAAGGTGTGGCTTAAAGCGGCAGACTGCTAGCTAGCCTTGAGCAAAAAAGCTAAAGGGTATCACCCAGATTTTGAGTTAGTCCCAATACTCGCACAAAGAAAAAGAAAACAAATAGAGCTTGTAAACTTAATTTTTTTAAAGCATACTTTCCCCTGATTTCTTCCATCAAATAAGGAGGCATATTTTTTTCACTTAAATATAATTTTCAAGAAGATACTACAGCTTAATTTATACAAATTTATAATATCTGGTCTATAAATATTAAGACAAAAATACTTTAATACTGGGCACTGGTGGTTCATGCCTGTAATCCTAGCTACTCAGGCGGCGGAGATCTGAGAATTGCAGTTTGAAGCCAGGCAGGCAGGAAACTGTGAGAATCTTTTCTCTAACCACCCTAAAATTGGAAGTGGAGCTGTGGCAAAAGAGCTCAGGGACAGCATCCAGGCCTTGAGTTCAAGCCCCACAACTGAAAAAAAAACAAAAACCCTTTAAAATAGATTGCAATTTAAGATTGTTTAAAATCCTATTTGGATAAAAACAAGTGTATTTATTTTCAACCTAGAGGCATTTTCTTTAAGAAGTATATTAAACATAAAGTAAATAATGTTCACAATAAACCAACCCAGATGCCCCTCAGTAGATGAATGGATCAAGAAAATGTGGTATATATACAAAATGGAATTCTATGCCTCCATCAGAAAGAATGACATTGCCCCATTTGTTAGGAAATGGAAAGACTTGGAAAAAATTATCTTAAGTGAAGTAAGCCAGGCCCAAAGAAACATAGGTCCCATGGTTTCCCTTATTTGCAATAACTAGTATATGTCTGAGTCAAGCTGAAAAGGTCAGATAAGTTCATGTTAGGGAAATGAACCCTAAGATATGTATTCAAATGTTTTTTTTCTTTCATGAGATTGTTTCTAACACATTTATAAGATTATTTCTTTGTTGCTTTGTATGTCCCTCCCCCACAGCATAACCCCTGCTTTAACTGTATTTGAAATTGTTATAATTTGTGGAAGGGAAGGGAAAAAACAAATCGTTTAAATAGGGATACAGGTGGACCCATTGCAACAATGAGACATATAAGTCGTTATGTCGAAAACGAACTTTACAACTTTGGTGGGGGGGGGGGGGGGGGGGAAGGGTTGGGTAGGGGGGTGGGGAGAGGATGGGAAGGGATGGGAAGGGGAAACAAAGGAGGAGGCTACAATGCTTGATAAGAAATGTACTCTTTATCTTGCCCATGTAATTGTAACCCCTCTGTACAGAATTTTCACAATAAAAAAAAAAAGAAAGTGTTCACAATATATTCAGATACCTCTGAATCTTCAAGATCTCTCTTTAGTGTAAGAGAGTATGCAAAATCCATTTGAGAACAGTGAACGGTAACTTCCCTGTGCTGGGTTTACCTCTAACCATTTGATAAAACATGTCCCTTGCTCTCTAGGCTTCATCTTTCTTAATAATACAGTAGATAATTAGATCAGGAGATCTCTAGTGTTCTTGTCAGCATTAAGGTTCTGTGTGATCCTACAGTTTAATGTTCTATTGATCTACTATTTACATAATGTCATAATAAATGAAACTACTCTCACTCCTTTAGTCATTTCAGAAGTTTCTTTCGCTGTCATACCTAAATATTAAAAAAAATAGCTGTACAAAAATATCTGAAAAATTAGCTTGACTACTTGTCACAGACCAAAAAGGGTTCTATGAACCCATACTGTATGAAGGAAAATTAGCCTTCAGTAAGCTTATGAAACCATGTTTTCTTGAAAAAAAAACTGTACATACCTTGGCTTGGCCATTATAATCATCATCTAAAATGTTTAGAGAACTGGAAACAGTGGTGCCACGGAAAAAACGTGAGGATCTGAGATAGCGTTGGAAACTCAGTAATCTTCTGATATTCCTTGCAGAGACAGACACTTCAAATTCAGATTGAGCTGAAAGAAAAGGAATAAAAGTTGAGAAAAGCAAGTAAAACCTGTGCAGGTGCTACTTTTGTAACACGTTTCCTAATTATGGATGAGTAGTTTTTGAATTCTTTAATTACTATACACTTTTCTAGGACAGCAGAGGTATTTGATTTCTATTTTCAGTTGAATAGCTAAGAATTAAAGGGTCAGTGATCACTTACAACAAGATTTAGAAAACTAAGAAAGATTCAGTTTTAAAATTTTAATTCCAAGAACTGTTAATTACCTCTCACTCTAATATTATATATAAGATTTTAACAATTACAAACAAATACCTCATATTTTAATGAAACATTTCCTTAAGGTAATTTACTTAAAGGAAAAGGAGATAGAATGGGAAATGATGTGGTTTATACCCTATAAAGAAGAATAAACATTCTGTAAAGTAAAAAAGTAGAAAAAAACATGGTTCTACATTGGAGATCAGTATTTCTGTTTCAGTGAGCCACACAACCATTTTCCATCCACTGTTAGAATATACTAAAGAGCACTAAATAATAAACTGATTGAGCACTAAGAAAATAGTAAAGTTGGGTATGAAAGCTATCTTGAAGAGCATATATGCTATCTTTAAATTCTATAACCAAATTAAATTCAGTAAAATGTTCATAAAGTAAAACACAAGAAAATTAAGCCTAAGAATCAACAAATCGTTACTTCTCAATTCTTTCTCTTCCTCTTTCTTTTTTGTGCGTGTCTTAGGGCTTACACAGGTTTTGGGTGCTATCCCTGAGCTTTCTTTGCTCAAGGATAACACACTTACCACCAGCCTTATAGTGGTTAATTGGAAATGAGAGTCTCATGATCATGTGTACATAGCTAGTGAGCTATTGTGATCCTCTACTAGGACTATCCTAGACATATACTAATTATTACAAATAAGGGAAACCATGCAGCCTATGTTTCTTTGGATCCAGCTTACTTCACTTAATATGATTTTTTCCCAAGTCTTTCCATTTCCTTATGAATGGGGCAATGCCATTCTTTCTGATGGAAGCATATAATTCCATTGTGTATCTATACAACATTTTCTTGATCCATTCATTTACTGAGGGGCATCTGGGTTAGTTCTTCCATATCTCAGCTATGGTAAAAATGCTGCAATGAACATAGTTGTGCTGGTAGCTTTAGTGTGGCCTTGTTTGTGGTCATTTGGGTAAATGCCCAGGAGTGGGATTGCTGGATCATAGAGGAACTCTATGTTTAGTCTTTTGAGGAACCTCCACACTACTTTCTAGAGTGATTGAACCAGTTTACATTCCCACCGACAGTGTATTAACATTCTCTTTTGGCCACATCCCCACTAGCATTTACTATTATTTGTTTCTTGATAATGGCCATTCTAACTGGGTAAGGTAGAATCTAGGCATAATTTTGATTTGCGTTCCTTTTATGGCCAGAGATGTTAAACATTTCTTCATGTGTTTATTGGCTATTCTTATTTCCTTTCCAGAGAAGTCTCTTTTTAATTCTTTAGCCCACTTATTAATGGGGGAGTTGTTTCTTTGAGGATTTGTTTTGGGGGAATAATCAAAATGAATTCCAAGATTCCAAGATGGAAACAAGGGGTGTTTCTTTTTGTTGTTTGATTTTATTTTTTAATGTACTATGTGAAGTTATTTTTTTCTTTCGTTTTTCTTTGGTTTATTCTCTGTTGTCACTGGTTTTGATTTTGGTACCTGTGTCTTGTATATACATTTATCTGATTTGGGGAAGAGAAGGAGAATAACAAAATAGTGAGACAAATGACAAAGTCTGAACCAATGCAACAGGGATACTCACAAGACATTATGTTGAAAATGAACTTTACAACTTGGGGAGGAGGGGACATGGGGCGGGGGGTGAATGTGAGGGAATGTGAGAAACGAGGGAAGAGGTAACAATGTTAGATAAGAAATGTACTCATTACCTTACTTATGTAACTGTAACCCCTCTGACATAAAACTCTTACAATAAAATAAAATAAAAACAGTCTTATGGACTTACTGTACAGGCTGGCTTTGAAACTGTGATCCTCAGATCTCAGTCTCCTCAGCAGCTAGGATTTCAGATGTGAGTCACCAGTGCTTGGCTATTTTAAGGTTTTTAATCTACGATCTTATTGCTTTGGGGCCTTTCTCATGAGAAATTATCTTTTAATCTCATCACTTGTATGCAGTGAGTTGTACTTCTTTCTGTCTCTCTCTGACTCTGTCTCTCTCTTTTGCTGGTACTATGCTACCACTGAGCCATGCCTGCAGTTCCAGCTTTTTCTTGCTAGTCAATTGGAGATAAGAGTGATCAGGCTGGCTCCAAGCCACCTCCTGAGTAGCTTAGATTTATAGTATGAACCATCAATGCTCTGCTGAGCTTCTACTTTTACAATTCCCTCTTACTCTCTGGGTTTTAACAGTTTGACTATTTTTCAGTATACTCCGATTTAAGTTCATCCTTATTGGAATTTAGTGAGCTTCTTAAGCATGTACATCTTCATAAAGTTTGGGAATCGAATGTCTTCTTTCGATTTGCGGTTTGAATAATTCATACATTGGTAAACTTGATGGTGCCCACCCATGTCATAGGCACTGTCCACTTTTCTTCTTTTCCTTGTACTCGTCAGAATGAATGGTTTCACTGTCTTATTTTCAGGTCTACAATCCTTCAGCCTGTTCACACATGGTTGTTGAACACCTCTGTTGAAGTTTTCATTTAAGTATATCTTTCATTTTCAGAATTTGTTTTGTTCCTTTTATTTTTTAAACATTTTTTCTTTTAGTTCTTTGTCAGTTTTTTTTTTTTTTAGCTCACTGAGCTAAACTAACACATTGAAAATAATGTAACAGACTTAACTCTGCAATGTTTTCTATGTTTTATAGTTTTTTCTTTTTTTTTCTTCCTATTAGGCATTCTGAATTTTACACTAGGGCACTTTTAGTAATATACTTCCTCCACTTTTCAGGGATTGTTTAGTTTTGCTTGTAGCTGGCTAGAACCATAAATTTTATGATCATCTCAAAGTATTGTTTGCTTGTACTTGTCTATTTGACTCTGTTTACGCTTTAGGTATGGTCACTGAAGTTTTGTTTCATTTCTAGTCTACCAGTGACCTGGCAAAGATTTCCCAAGAAGAAAGTAGGTAGAAAAAGGTACTGTCTCTTTTTTTGGTCCATCATGGGGCTTGAACTCAGAGCCTGGGCGCTGTCCCTTTGCTTTTTCTCTTGTCATGGGGCTTGAACTCTGGGCCTGAGCACTGTTCCTCAGCTCTTCAGCTCAAGGCAAAGCTCTACCGCTTGAGCCACAGTGCCACTTCCGGTTTTCTAGTGGTTTATTGGAGATAAGCGTTTCATGGACTTTCTTGACTGGGCTGGCTTTGAACCACGATCCTCAAATCTCAGTCTCCTGAGTAGCTAGGATTACAGGCGTGAGCCACTGGGGCGCCACCCCGCTCTCTCTCGAACTTTTCTACTCAGGCTGGCTCAGCTCTCAGCTTCCTGAGTAGCTGGGATTATAGTCATGAGACACTGGCCACTATCTCTGAATTTCCTGAGATATGCCCTCACGGGAAGCTGCTGTAGCCAAGAGGGCTGAAAACCAAGAAAGACATCTGCATCAGTTTCTTAGGTGTCTACCAGATGGCTAAAACATGAGTCTACATATTTATAAAGAACAAAGTTCTTCCCACACACACCTCAGTTTAGTTAAACACTTGAGGTGTAAAAAGATGTTGTCACCATTGGCTATGAGGCTGAGGAATGGGGTTAGCCACCGGTTTTCATCCTGATGTCCTCTGCACCAAAACAGAAGTCTTGCCCTTTATGAACTGCTTGCCAGGAAGTTATAAGTATCCAATCAGAGCCTAGAGTCCTGAAATAGTTTACAATGGTAATTTTATTCCCAGCTCAGCAATCATTTCTACAGGGAGGTCAATCCTTGGAGCCTGTTATCCTATTATTCCAAGTATCCTTTCTGGGATTAGCCAGCTCACATTTTCTCTTCTGCTTTGTATGGAAGTTGCATGCATGCCTCTCCAGAAACAATACTGTTAATGCCCTGGCACTCTAGATATTTATCTCTTTGGGTGTGTGTGTGTGTGTGTGTGTGTGTGTGTGTGTAAGACTGGGACTTGAACTCGGTACCTGATGCTTTGCTCATTAGCTAATGCTCTACCAACTGGGCCATGCCTAGTAATGTAAGCATTATGCCCACCTTTGGTCCTCAGCCCCACCCAAACCTAAGCTTGTCCCAGCCCTGGAGTAACTGCCATATAGTTGGCCCCTCCCTCTCTCTGCCCAGACCCACCTGAACTCCCATCTACCTCACTTCCTACCCTCAGATCCTGCTGCTACCTAGATAATGGAGGCCGCCATACGCTCTCTCTCGGGGGCAAATATGGTTCCTCTAATAAACCTTGTAATAATCTTTCTCCTGTGCTTGCCTGCCTTTGTGTGGTCCCCTGGGATGGATGTGATGGATCCTTTCACCTACAATGCATAATTATTTTCTATATGTGTACAAATAATCTTTTATTAATCCAAGGAAATTCACAGCTTTTCCCCAGTACTGGAGTTTCAACTCAGGACCTTGAGCTTGCTCAGCTGGTACTCTAGCACTTGAGATATGCCTCTAGCCTGGCTTTATTTTTTTTGCTCAAGGCTGTGATTCTACCACTCAAACCACAGCTCTACTTTCTACAGTCTGGCTTTTTGGTGGTTATTTTGAAGACAGAACCTTGTGGGCTGGTTTATACAGACTAATTGATTAGATTCCCTTAGAACATTTCAGTACTGTCTTAAACACATGCCAATCAAGTGATAGGGCTTGTCTAACAAGAATATGAGGCCTAGGTTCAATCCCCAGTATTTATTTATTTACCACAGTAAATAAAATAAATACATAAATAAATAAGAACACAAGCCAAAATAGGGAGTAAGTTTTTTAAAAGAAAATTAGAACAGTTTCCATAACTATCCTAGGATAGCTTCCAAACT